CCCCTAGTAAAACAGGTTACTTTTACGGCTTGCACAGCGCGCTAAAAGTGCAATTTTTAGCACTAGTGATAGAAGTAAGACCCAAGTTATCAGATAAATCTGTAAATAAAGCAAACTAACATTAATGCATCATTAAGTGATTTGAATATTTTAAGAAAAATAAATGAATGACAGACTGTAGATAAAATAATGTATGACACACGTGGAAAAAGTGATATTTTTCGCTTATTGCGCCACTCAGCCTGTCGGCCTCAAGTCGCAACATTTTCTACTTGCAAAAAATGAAATGTCACTTACCATTTCTTTCATAAATAACTATTCTGTCAGATTTTACTAATGAAAATGTGTTTATATCAACATGACAATGTCTTGCACGGGTTATAAACTAGTTTTACGTGTGAGGTTATCGCCAATGTTCACTTGTGGAAAATAGCGAGATCTGTTCTAAATCATGATAAATTTTATCGGTAGATTGACACTCTTATGTGTGTCTTTGAGGCATGAAAATAGCTGGGTTTATACCGTTCATAGGGCAAGAAGATGACAGATATGGGTTACAGAATGAAGGTTTAACGTTGCCTCTCGCTGTTATATAAATTCGTACTCTCAATTGGGATAACAGCACAGAAACCAAGTAAAGTGATAAATTTACAAACAGTATATTAAAAAATAAATATTTTAAAACTAAACTTAGATTTGTGTAAATCAACTCGCACTTAAAATTGGAATTCAAAAGTAATTTAATTTTCAATTATTTTTAAGTTAATGGATTTAGTATCGCTATATGAAGAGGTAGTAAAGTAAGCGATAAGCAAACTAAAGTACCGGGAGCTGAAAGTGGGGAAGAGAAAACCAAATTTTGTTGAAAAAAATAAAGTTTAAGTAAACATTAAAAATGTATAACAGCTTAAAAATATTCTATTACATGACAGCAACAGAATCTAATTCACAGGAATATTTTGTTGTTGTGAGGTTGCACCATTTTTAAATAAATTTAACAAATGTACAGTTTAAAATTACACTTCTCTCTTTGTTAACGTTAGTTTCACAACGGATGTAAAGAGAAATGAAAAAATGTTGCACAATATTTTCGTCGCGAAAACATCTTTTTGTTACAATAGAAAATCATCAAGATATTTTTGACAATTGAAAATCTGCACGAAAGGTTTGGGACCATAAAACCCGCACATTTTGATGACATACAACATGACCCACATTT